GCCCCGAGGTGCTGTCATGTCAAGGGAATTTATAACAAAAAAAAAAAAAAACTTCATTTCTCCTTGGTCATTCCTTTTTTTCCCTTCAGGACAAGAGAGGGTTATTACTGTAGCCTTAAGTTCCATCTTTGTGTTTCTTGCCTTTGATTCCCACTCGGACCCTGCCACTTTCTGGCACTAATTTGTCAGGCTGAACAAAGAGAGGATTTGTACCTCCCGTAAGGTCTCAATTAGGAGTGGCTTCTGCTGTATTATGTGCCATTCAGGAAGGACACAATGCCGGTAATTACAGGAATTTGCACTAAATGGCTGAAGAATTCACAGCAAAACTCCCCCCCACCCCTCCTTGGGTTTACTCCTCCCAAGGACTTGGGGGGAAAAGGAAAGCAAAATCTCTTAATGCCAGAGAGATGTAATTACCAACAGCAGTCCCAAGAGGTTAAACAGCAGCCAAAGGAGTAAAACCATAAACCTGACAGTGTGAAAATAATAGAGGGGATCCCCTCGGCTCAATATGTTTCTTGCTATCTCTTCTGTTAGCGTTATTCAACTTCAGTCCATAATCAGGAGCACCGTCCCACAGTGGCCATCCGATAGCACTCCCAGATTACAAAGCAGGAACAGAAAGAACGCTTTAAACGGTGAGCTTTGCAGCTCCCTCAGCACCTAAACGAGGCCCTGAGCCTTTTGATTATAGTACTCAATTGGTAGGTTTCTCGATTGCCAGGAAATTACAGGAAAAACAGCTGTATGTACTTGTGCCAAGAGAACCATGCATCCATCTACTGAAAGGAAATAGGTATGACACATATCTAATTCCAGAAGAAAACAGGACTGCTGCCCTGTGATATAATTTATACAGCATTTTGTGAGCAACTTAATTTAGAACAACTTACAGGTATATACTTCATAAATATTTTAATAAGCTGCATAATCATTTGTTTTAGTATTAATTTTTAATTCCACAGGTGCCCCATTGCCAAACCAAATTTTGAATCCCAACCAGTAACTTCACTAGAGAATCGGACCTCATTTTCTTCCACAGAGGTGTTCCTGAAAAGCTGTACTAAAGCAGCACCAAATTAATTGTTCTGAAATACCAATTGCATGCATCATATGCTCTCTCTGCTCAGGAACCTTCTGTGAGGGGCACCTGGGTGGCTCAGTCGGTTAAGCCTCAGCCTTTCGCTCAGGTCATGATCCAGTGGTCCTAGGATGGATGCCCCCCCCCCATTGGGCTCTCTGCTCAGCAGGGAGATGGCTTCCCACCCCCACCTCCCCACCCTTGCTCCCCCACCCCCGCCTACTTGTGATCTCTGTCAAATAAAATAAAATTAAAAAAAGGAACCTTCTGTGACTTCAGGATCACATGTTCAGTTGAACCCTATCAAACTCCTTTTGCGGGTCAAAAATGACTAAATAGCTGCTATTTCATATAGTTGTATTGCCACCACCTAACTCTGTCACAGTGGCCATCTGACTCATGACGTGCTGCTGTGATAAATGTCGGGCTCCCTGAGTAGACTGTAGGTTCCATGAGGGCAGGGACCACGTCTGCTTTCTTGTAGCACAGACTTCTCCAGATGCACCTGGGTTTTTGGCACATGGGAAGAAACTCAGCCCGTGATAAACAGGAGAAGGAAGGAAAGAACTTCATTTCCAATGGCATGTTTTCAGGAAGAAGGAATGCAAGTGCAAAGGCCCTGGAGGCAAGAATGACCAAGGTAGGTTCCAGAACAACAAGATGACCACTGTGGCTGTGGCTTCCTAGCATGAGGCAGCCATGGAGCTGAGAGGAAGCCATGGAACAAACCACACATCATCAAATACAACTATAAAAAGTTCAAGCACATGTTAAGAAATACACAGTTATATATAAGCATGTATTTTCAAAACCATAACCTCAGGCATTTTGGGATGGTCGTGGTCCATTTTCTCTGCAGGGGCTCCTTAAGTTTCCAAAAAGGATATCAAAAATTCTTCACCTACAGAAAGAATTTGGTGAAAGAAGGCCAACTGCACTATAATGTAGATTTAAAAGCCAACATTTGTAGCTCGCCCAGATAGCAACCGAATGACATCATAATAAAAAGCTGCTCAGGGCAATCTTCCACTTCTTAAGTTTTTTCCCCAAATATATTTAAAGGGAATAAATAAATAAATCCCCCAAAAAAATATTTAAAGGGGGAGGGACTAAGTGGACATAAAAACTTACATTCTAAAGACACTCATTACAACTGTGAAATACTCTGAATTAGTTTCTCCTTAAAATAGCAGATAATGCCAAGTTCAAATAAAAACAATTTAGTTAGCATTTTGATGCTTTTAGAAGGTAAACATACTATGCAACTAGATTTTTCACCAAATGGGTATTTTTGTAAGGATGAAAAGTTAGGGGGCTCAAATACTAAATGCATACAACAGCTGGTTTAGATTAACTGTGTCTGTGAGAGATCAATTTTTAAAGTCCCATCTGCTATAATAATCTTTAATATAACGAACAAGCTCTCAAGTAATTTTAAAAAACATTCAGAGGTTTGCCTAACAAGTTTTAGCCTTTTTCTTTTGAGACTCTGCCCCCTACAGGAGATGAAGTATTCCTACCTGGGGTAGGAAACCAGTATTCAAGCTGCAATTAAGGAAAATGAAAAGCGACCATGTGTAGCACGAAGCAATTGAATGTAGCATTTTCCAATGGAAGGGGTACTAAAATGAAATTTAAAAATCTCTACTTTGGAATCCACCATACTACACAAATTAGGACTGACCTCTCCCCACCCCAGATTAGAAAACTACCTGCGCCTTACAGAACTCCAAAACAGAGCATGAAGGTAAGAGCTGAGCAGAGCAAATGAGTTTTAGATTTCATTTCTCCTGCCTCCTGGGTTCCCTATTACCACCCATCCCCAGCCAGGCCAAACTGAATGAGGACATTTAGACAGCAAAGGGAGATACCCTACCACATGGAACCTAAAGCAGTAGCCAAAAAGTTCTATCCCTGCCCATTATGTAATCCTTCCCTCTTTTTCTCTACTTAGTTTCCTTCTCCCTGCCTCTTCTCACCTTTGTCTTCTTCCTGTTTTCATTTCTCCAACTGCTAGTATGTGATGGACCTGCTGAATGCTACCTCTACTTGCATTTCTCCTTCCACTGAGGGCTAGAAACGCTGCTAATGTAGTCCAGAATGTGGGCAGTGCACACTCCATCAGGAAGCAAACTTATAAGAGCAAGGTGAATTAGGGGTCAACTATGTGACAATACTTGTGTAATCCCTGAGACTTTTCTTCCTCCTTTTACTAGACAGTTTCCCAATTCAGCTATTCCAGTCTCTGCTTTGAAAACTAAGCAGAGCTATTTATTCTCCTTGACTCCAATAACACAACGGATTTGTTGACCCTATCAGCAATCCAAACCCACAGAAGTGTATCATAATTCCAGAATCTTCACAGAGTCAGCATCAATAAATTATTGTTGGATGACTGAACTTTGAAATATATGCACTGATATAAGACACTAAAGGAGAGCCTGGGTGGCTCAGGGGGTTATACCTCTGCCTTCGGCTCAGGTCATGATCTCAGGGTCCTGGGATCAAGCCCCATATCAGGCTTCCTGCCCAATGGGAAGTTTGCTTCTCACTCTCCCTCTGCCTCTCTCCCAACCCATGCTCTCTCTTGCTTTCTCAAATAAATAAATAAAATATTTTTTAAAAAGAACACTAAAATGTCAATAATTTCTAAAAGCTGTGGTAAAGCTAGTATTCCCTTATTTCGAAAAATTTTGCAAAAGTAGCTGGCTGACTTATCACAAGGTCATTCACGCCCGCAGATACATGCATATCACCTAGGAAGGCTTCTTACCAGCTCAGAGTTGCTGGTGTCCCCTACCCAACTCTGCAACTTTCTGCTTCATAGTAACTGCGGCCATCCAGAGAACGCACGGATGATCCGCTTAATTGCCTCTTTAGGTATATTATTTGTCAATAGAAAAGGCAATCATCCCAAATAACCTAAACTGAAATTTGCATCGTGCCACCACTATTTGGGTTTTAACGCAGAGACAAGCAAAAACTGAAAATTTGGTCTTGGCTGGTGGTGAGCTTCCTCTTCTTTTTTAAAATAACATAATTAAATCTGATACACTTGAATTAAAATCTTCCAAGTCAGGTTTCCAGTTAAATTACCTTCGTGGCAAATTTACCTTACAGATACACTTCTTGTCCAAACTGTGGGGTTTACTGAAAGCAAAATAATTTCATTTAGTTTATAGTAGATATATAGATTTGGTTTAGTGAGGGTTTTATTGTCTAGTTTACTGGTTGGGGGAAAAATGAAAGGAATGGAAAGTAGGGGAGAGAAGCGATAATAGGGTTTTAAGAAATAACAGATGACTGGCCGTGAACTCTACTTTGTGCCTCACCCTTCCACAGCAATTCTAGAGGCCCTGGCTTCCCCAGGATGAGGTACAGGCCTACCGTGACTCAGAGGTCATCTACTGAATCATCATCTACCCTGCTGTTAGCCACCTCCAGATTTTCTGTCAAGGCTGACTCTAGATTCTACCTTAAGAGGATTTGACAAGGTCATGATCAATGACAGTCACCATGAACATTTTTCTTCCCTAAGGAGTGTCAGCAGACAGCTTTGGGCCTGGATATCTCCTTTGAGACAATTTGTGACAGCCACATTCCCTGTGACCTTTATTTAAGAAGACAGAGGAAATGGAATCATGGCAGACACAAGAAGCCTAAATTCTAGGCTGATTATACTTCAGCGAAGTCATTTTGACTCAGTGGGGTATATCCTATCTGCTTCTACTTACGTCACCAGATGGCATAAAGATAGATGTTTTGATGTAGCGAACTCCTTGAAGGAGATGCCTTTTAAACAAGAGACCCACTGAGGGCTGTGACTGGCCCACTGAGGGGATTTCTAAAGTGAATTCCAATGGTGAGATTCAGGATTGTTCTTTAATAAGCTTTAGACTAAACCTTTGCGTCATACCTGCACATTTGAAACTCTGAGCAGTGAGTCCTCGCTCCAAAGACAAAGTTGTGAGAATGCTGAGGAAGCTGGTGGTCACAGACTGACGTTTGTTCTTCCTGAGTTCGTGCCCACCCATCTGATCCTTGGGTTTGCTTCTCAGGGTGACTTGCAGGTTTTGCTCTGAACTCCTCGCCACATTGGCTGCTGTTTTCAGAGCCTCCATCCACTCCTCGGCCCTCTGCCGGGTCTCTGCGCGGAGGCGGAGCACATCTTGAGGGAAGATGACTTGAAAGCAAGAGTCACAGTCGTCCAGGTTGTCCACCTGGACAGCCAGACACACGTCCACGTGGTAGCTTAGCAGGGGGTCCTCATCTAGCTTGCCGGGCTGGAAAGCCATAAGGTAGGCTCTGCTCAGCACGAAAGTAAATGCCTTCCAGTTGTTCTGGACAGTGAGCCTGTACAGCGTCCCTGACTTGACGATGTTTTCGTATTGTCTGGGGCTATCCAAGACAGGGGATGGTGCGAGCAGCTCACTGGATTTCTTCTGTAAACAGTGATTCTGTGTACAGTCAACGTGATGACCAAGTCCCGGTGAGTTGGCCGGCTCATCCTGCCGCCCTACGTAACCAGGCACGGTGGCGTGCACGACTTCCCAAAGCTTCTGCCCCCAGTCCAAAGCCTCCCACGGTGATTCTGCCTTTAACTGCAGCTGGGTGTTGTCATACAGAACGGTATCCACCAGCCTGGCCTCGAGGCTGCCCAAAACAGATATGCTCTGGAAGTGTGAAAGCTGGTAGGTGGCACAGAGGGCTTGATTGCCACTGCTGTCAAGGCTGTAGAAGTACAAGTTGTAGGGGGAGAGCTCTGCGTAACAGCTGTGCCAGTAACTGTCATGGTCCTTCCTAATCTCCAGGTACCCCTTCTTCAGAATGTTTGGGAATGCCTGCTTGTGTTCTAGAAAGGAAAAAAAAAACAAAGAAGCAATGTGTAGTAATTTATGAATATGAATGAACTCGATGAGATGAAAAAGCAGGCGCCAGAAACTAAAAAGAGATAGGAGAAGGACATCTTTCTGTTTCAAAGCAAACACAGTAGAAGCAGTACAATTTCAAGATAGTACAACTGACAAGCTGTAATTGGGGGGAAATTTCAGGTCTAAAAAACTTCACAAAGGTGGAAACTTGAAATTTAATTCAAATGTTACAATGAGTGTAAGATTAAGTACAGAGGGGGGTTGGTTTGAAATATCAGTGTGACATGCGGAGGTCTGTGTGGAAAACAGAAATACAGGAATAACTAGGATTATCCCCCATGGGCCCATGAAATAACTGTACTTCCCCAGGATTCCATGTTTTCTAGGAAACATTCTACAGAGCACCAAATACATAAAAAGGACATTTCCTCCTGTCACTTGACCTAACCCCTTGCTAATATTCCCATCTTTCTTTGGGTTAGGAAAGCCAGGAAGGGTCAATGGAAAGGACGGAGTGACAGAGCAAGAAGTGCACCACTGATAAACTCCTGTTTCTCAGACACCCCATTAGTCCTCAAGGCCAGTTCATGAGCCTTCTGTCTTATAACCACCTCCCCAGGCTTGACTCAACCGACTTGCTTTAGGTCTCTGCTTACATAGCAGTTCTCTCTCACCTCTGAGCCTGGATGGGCTTACACGGTTCCTGCTGCTTACAGTGTTCCTTCCCACTGCTTCCCCCAGCTACCACACACTTACCCTTCATCACTTAGCCATCCTCTCTTTCAGGAACAGAGTCTGTCCTGACTCCCCCAATCCCTCACCTACAAACACACAGCCCTGGGTCAGTAACAGGTATCCCTATCATTCCTCTCCGATGGGTTCCTGTCAGGCTGTAGTATAATAGTGTATTTAAATATCTGAACAATTAAAATGAATTCTGAAGTGTTTGAAGAAGCCTGTCCTTCCCACTGGACTGTAAGCTCTGCTGAGGACAGAGGAGATGTTTGTCTTTCAACCTTATTATCATAGCACATAGTACAATGCCTAGTATACAGGAGGCTCTTAAAAAGTACTTGTTGAATGAGAATTATAGCTCCTAGCACAATGCTCAGCATATAGTAGGTATAATTTCTTTCTCTTCCCCTGTTTCACAAGTTTATCTGGTTGTGCCATCTTTAATCAATACTTAGCTGCAATGTATGCAGGTTTAGTACTTTAATAGAAGGAGACTGTCATTTGGGAGTCATTTGGGACTTCCTGATACTTTTATCAGGCATGAAAATGACATCCATGCAAGAAGCAGCACCGCTCCCTGGTAGAGATTTCCATTTCTGAAATTTTCATTTCATTCTGTTTCTTAATTTCTTTACTAACACACATCAGAGGCAGTCATAAACTAATTGAGCCATTCCCTAAAGAAGACAAATCATAATCCCAAAGGGTATAATATCTGATCTTGGCTTTGGGGGGGGGGGGGAGGTAACACAGATCTAGATCTTAAAATAGCAAACCAAATGAGAAAAGGAGAGAAATGAGGCAGAGAAAAGCCAATTTTACCTGCTTTACATCTCCAGTCCTGACATTCATTAGTATTTCTGTGATAACTCAAAAGCCATTAATTTCTTGCAACCTACACTAATCCCTTTGTAGAGAGATAATGGATGCCTATTCTCAGTTATCTATCTTTTCTGATAATGCAATAAGGGAGGTAGTGCTGTTAGAGTCACTGCTGCTACCCCTCCCCCTCTCATTTCCATTAAGCGCTGATGGTAGTTCAATCTTTTCCATAATAAGACTCATAACCATGCGTCCCTCCATCCCCATCTGTCCTGTGACCCAATGGCTCAGCTACGCATCCCTGAGTAAAATAAAAACTACCTTTCTTGCTTTTAGCTAGGAATTTTTCTCTCCTTTTCCTTCCTCCCTGTAAGCTTTCTATAATAGCAAGCATGAATTAGAAATTCTGCTTTAATTGGGTCCAAGCCAGCAGCAGACCTGATTAAAAACTCATCTCTCTCTGGCTGTCCAAGCTAGGGTGGTAGCTGCCAGTTTGGGTGGACCAGGTTAGAAGTCCTGCCTGGGTGTCTCAAAAGTCCCCTCACCTTCTCAATGCAGAGTAAGGGTAGAGTATGTATTGTGTTTCCAGATTTTTCCCCCACCTGGCTCAGCCCTCTCTAAAGAGGTACATTAAACTGAGAGAGAAGAGATTGGTGCTGATCATAGGAAATGGCCCATTTTATAGGCTGCAGTCTGTAGCGTTAATTTCTTGAAAAAGAACAGTCAAGAAGAGAGCAAACGGGATCAGAAAGCTATCCTCTGGGGTGTGTGTTCCTCTCTGGAGGGTCTAGTTATATCAGACCTTACTAATATTTCCTGTGGGAAGTACTGATGTCTTTGAAATGTGGAGGGCGGAAGAACGACCATTTCTCTTTAGCCTCTAACAACTGCTACTTTCTGTTTCTATCTTAAGTTTATTTTTAATATTTGGCTATAGACAAATCACAAGGTATATATTTAAATCTAAGCTTTCATTAATTTATAGTTCAACTTTTATTTCCCCAGACCACATCATTTCAACTCATTTAATTAACGTCCCACACATTATTGTAAATTGTTCAATTTCACAAATGAGTAATGTAAAATCTATCTTAACTAATATCATAAATGATTCCGATGGAACCACTGACAAGGATTATCACTATTTCCTCAATTAAATAGGAAAAGCTGATCAAAATGAAATCACTGTACCCAAAAATTTCATATTGAAACCATGAGTAATTCCTTGTGAAAAAGAGGGAAAAAAACCCCGACCCACCCCTGAATTCATTTCCCCACTGCGTTCCACTTTGGCTGGTACAAAGACCCGGTCCAGGTCCTCTGCAGTGAAAACCCCTTCTTCCTCTTCTCGACGTCCTGCAGTACCAGTGCCGCAGTTTAAGGACAACTGCTTTACTGCAGAGGAAGGAGGGCACTGTCCCTATCATGCGCCTCATTCATCTCTGTACGGCCAATCTGCCGGAGTTCCTCTTTTGCTATTATTTCCTCTACCTGTTCTCAGAAAAGTCTCCTTTCTCATGGCCACCACCTTAATCAAGGTTTGCTTGTTTGTTTTTTATTGTGGTATAACTGACATATAACATTTTATTAGTTTCAGATGTACAATTCAGATGTAATGATCCAATATTTGCATATATTGTAAAATGATCACCACAGTATGTCTAGTTAACATCTACCAGCATACATAACTACAAAACATTTTTTTCTTGTTATGAGAACTGTTAAGATGTATTATCTTAGCAACTTTCAAATATGCAATACAGTATTAACTAGAGTTGCCATCCTGTAATTTACATACCAATGACTTTTTATTTTATAACTAGATAGTTGTACCTTTAAGACCTAATCCAGGTCTTAAATGAGCTCCTTCCTCTAGTCCTCCTCCTTCCTGGCCATCTCACACACTGTTACCAGCATCATGCACAGCCCCTCCCACCCAATAAAGTTCAAACTCCTTAAGACATTTTATTATGGAAAATTTCAAACACACTCCAAAGCACGTAGAAGAGTAAAATAAACACCCAGGGACCTATCCTTCAGCTTCGGAAATCAAATTTCTGCTATTCTTGTTTCGTATCTCCCACCCTTCTCTGACTCTGGCTTTTTTGGTTGTTTTGGCTTCAATATTTGAAAGCAGATTGCTAACACTTTACCATTTCTAGTGTAAATACTCCAAGGGGTATCTCTAATCTGACAGATAAAACTTGAATACACACACACACACACACACACACACACACCCCGCTTTCACACCCAACAACATGAATAATCCTCATCTAATCTACAGTCTATATATGATATTCCCAGATTGTCTAAAAAAATTTCTTTATACAGATGGTTTGTTCAACTTAGGTTCACACATTGATTTGGCTAATACATCTTTTAAATCTCTTTAAATCTATAACAGTTCTCCTTTTTTTTTTTTTTTCATGCCACACATGTTTATTGAAGAAACGAGTTCACTTGTCCTGTAGAACTTCCCACATTCTGGACTTGGCCGAGTATATCCTCGTGGTATTGTTCAAATGTTCCTCTGGTCCCCCTGTTTTCTGCCAACTGCTGTTTAGAACTTGAGGTTCATTTAGACTTTTTTTTTTTTTTGTCAAGAACATGTCACAGGAGGTCGTCCCACTTCTAGGGGTATTAAGATTGATTAGGGGGTTCAGAAGATGTTAGTCTGATCCCTCCATTGTAATTTTCCCCAGCGACCCTTTCACACAATGCAGGTACTTTTCTCCACTCCCCCATATTCCAGCCAGATGACCTGATGCTGTTTCCAGCACTCACCCCTCCCAACCTTTGTGCATGCTCTCTCACGGATCTCTCTGTCTAGATCTCCCCTCACGTCTGCGTGGGTGTGTTTTCCGCACACGAGGGCAAGAACAAAATCTTACCTACTCTTTTTTAAGATTCTACTTATTTGTCAGAGAGACACAGCACACATGCACACAGGCAGAGGGAGCAGCAGGCAGAGGGAGAGACAGGCTCTCCGCTAAGCAGGGAGCCCACGTGGGAGTCGATCCCAGGATCCCGTGATCATGACCTGAGCCAAAGGCAGACGTTTAACCGACTGAGCCACTCAGGTGTCCCAATATCTTACTATTCTTGAAGACCTTCTTCATTCCCTCTAGTTAAAAACAACTGTCTTCCCCTGAACCCCCAAGGCTCTACGGCTACACTACTCTGATGACTCAGATTTCAGATACTATTTCACATTTATCACGTATGTATTAAATTATGTAACAAAATTATTTAAAAAATCAGAAAGAAATGTAAAATGCAACAACAAAAAGTTTCTGCCTCCATACTCCAGCACCCACAATCCTCCTGTCCAGACTATATACTATTTGATATGAAGCCCTCAGACAACATATGAATGTCATAATATAAATAATAAGGGGAGGTATATTATATTTACTTACAT